TCTTGGTTGACTTTGGGGATAGTTAATTTAATTTTGCATTTGCTTAGTAATTACCTGTTCTACTTTCTTTACTGTGGTTTTATTACCTCTGGTGACAACTATTAAACCTTAGGAGCACTTCCATCTATAGCAGTCCCTCCAAAATAGACTGTAGAGATGATTTGTGGCAGGTAAATTCTCTCAACTTTTGCTTATCTGGGAAATGTTTAATCTCTCCTTCAAATTTAAAAGATAATTTTGCCAGATAAAGTAATCTTGGTTCGAGGCCCTTCTGCTTCATTGCATTAAATACATCATGCCACTCCCTTCTGGTCTGTAAGGTTTTTGCTGAGAAGTCTAATGTTTGCCTAATAGGCTCCCCTTTGTATGTGATCTTATTTCCCTCTTTTGCTGCTTTTAATAGTCTGTCCTTATCCTTGATCTTTGCCATTTTAATTACTATATGTCATGGTGTTTGTCTTCCTTGGTTCCCTTGTGTTGGGAAATCTGTGCACCTCCATGGCTTGAGAGACTATCTCCTTCCCCAGATTGGGGAAGTTTTCAGTAGTTACTTCCTCAAAGACACTGTCTATCCCTTTATGTCTCTCTCCTTCTTCTGCTACCCCTATAATGCGAATATTGTTCCGTTTGGATTGGTCACACAGTTCTCTCAATATTCTTTCATTCTTAGAGATCCTTTTTTTTCTCTGTACCTCAGCTTCTTTGTATTCCTCTTTTCTAGTTTCCATTTTATTTATCATCTCTTCCACCTTATCCAATCTGCTTTTAATACCCTCCATTGTGCTCTTCAACAATTGGATTCCTGACCGGAATTCATTCCTGAATTCTTGAATATCTTTCCATACCTCCATTAGCATGTTAATGATTTTTATTTTGAACCCCCTTTCAGGTAGAGTCATGAGGTCCATGTCATCTTTCTCAGGAGTTACATTAATTTTACTCTGAACCAGGTTCCTTTGGCGTTTCATATTTGTATCTGACGCCCTGTAGTGCCCTGTGAATAAATATTAAACTATTGTTAATGAAACACATCCTTAAGTACTTAGGGGTACATGTAATGATATCTGCAGTTTAAAACACATCCAAAAAATTAGTATTCTGATCTCATTCTGACATCTTCGTTACTATCATATTTACTTTTCAAATTAGTGATAAGGTATTAAGACTAAACCAACCTATAACTATTAGCTGTGGCAAATAAAACACTCTTTAAAATATTACCATGAGGACAAAACTAAAACCAACAACTAGAATCATAGCATGAATTTTCAAAAACTGCTAAATCTATCCCATTCAAAATAAATTACTCTGGCTTTTATAAATTGTTATAAAATGTACACATTTTTATTAAATGATTGAATTTGGCAAATTGGTCATTGAGTAATTTGATCTCTACCTGAGTTGGCCTTCAGTGTGATCTGTGGTGAACTGACTGCTCCTGGGGTTAGTTCTGCACAGTTTTAGCACTGCTTGGTCACGTGTGTCATCACCTGCAGGTCACACTGACCCAGTCAGGCATGACCCAGCTCTTGGAACCGTTTGTGGCTTTTATCACAACATATGTGAGCACTTGAATGGTTTGAATGATTCTAATAGTCTAGTGGTTTAATGTATTCCTATGCCTTACTGATGTTTAATTTACTAATATAGGGGATCAGTACTTGGAAACCTGTATTTCTCCATTTCTGTTTGCTTTTCGTTACCTTTTGTATAGTTTTGCTTATTATCATAAATTACTCAGTAGTGGCTCTAGGTAAAGTGGCCTCAACACCATTGTTCTTTCTCGGATTTCCTTGCCTCTCCTCCAAACTTTGGTCTGTTTTCTCCAGCTTTCTTATATCTTCAGGCCTTCCCCTTCCAACTACTGACTGTCTTCATTCATCAATATTATCTCATTAATGAGTTATTTTCTCATTAGCAGGAAAAGGAGGAGAAATGTGGAGAAATGGTGCTAACAGATCAAGTTTTATTTACGTATCTACATATAATTATATTTCTATTACATCATAGTTCCCCATCCTCAAATTAACCCAACTGCACCTCTGCTCACTTGACACATGAAAATTTGTATTGTAAGTTTCAGTAGTTACCAAAGATATATAAGCATATTATATTACTTTATTAAATGTTTCACATGGAATCTAAATGGCATAGCAATTCAGTATCATCATCCATTAAAAATATATATGAACAAGTGCTTCCTTAACAGTTTGAAATTTTATTTCATCCTTTTTTCCCCTTGAATTCATAATTTCATTTCTCTTCTGCCACAGAATTTTATCCTAATGGAATTCACTTTAATGCTTGAAAGTCCTTTATGATTATGTTTGACAAGTCATCCTTCTACTGCAACAAAAATATGCACATAAATTGAAATTAAACTCTTTTTAATTTCCTGTGTCTCTCTAAATGTTTACATTTTTTTTTCCTTCTGGACTAAGTTGTAATTTCAGCTGAGCAAAACAATGTAAACACATTGCAAATTTTGATAAATAATTATTAAATATAAAACATAAATTTAATTTAATCCCATAATGAAAGACTTTTTTTCCAGTTAGTTGCTGGTCTTTGGATGAATGTTACTTACTTAGTGCTAGTAATACAGGTATCAGCATCAAATATGTTCATTTGTTTGTTTTTGTTGTTAAAAGTGTTATAGTTAAAATGAGTTAAGAAATCATGTTTATACAAGGAAGTAGGTGAGAATGGAATATAGTTTGTTATAGTGATGTCATTCAATTCTTTAAACAATTTCTGAGTTATTATACCTCACAATGATCTATTATAAAATTATTAATGATCTCTCAACTGTCAACTCTTTGGAACCTCCTTCAGTTTTTTTTGCATTGGTCCCATTAATTTCTCATTCTTTCTTTCCAAAGCTACATAATGGGAATGATAACATTTAGTTTACAGAGATATGGTGAGGATTACAATATAGCAAGTGCTTAATAAATATAACACTTGGTATTTATTGAGTGATTCTTATTTACCCAACACTGTACTACCTTTGTATTCATTAGATATTTAACTCCTCACACATCCAAATATTTAGAGACTACTACTATCCTTTTACATCTGAGAAAATGAGGCTTAAATTATTTGCCTAAGATCACCAGCGTTGAAAGCAGGAGGACCATCATTGCAACCCAGACTTTTCTAAATTCAGAACTTTTACAACTATTCTTCCCACCATATGTATTGATGGCTTAGTTTTTCTTAGCAGTAACTGATATTTTTTTGAATCTCCTTCAGTTTTGTTGAAAACTAAAAATTGAAAAGCACTTGACGTGCAAATCAGTCTGTTTCTGAAAAAAACTGTACCAAGATTTATGAAATGACTGAGAGGAGTTGAGAAAATGGAAATACTGCTAATTTAAATACACTTATTAACATAATATCTTTTGTACATTGTGCTGAAACCTTACAACTACAGATTGAGCTCATTCAATTTATAGGGAATAAGGACCACATAACCTAATTGACAAAGTCAGTTTTGGCTGTCAAGTCAGACTTAATATCTGTCAGAAAGTCTAGCATCATTTTCCCAATTAAATAGATGTGTTAATGGCTATTCCAGTGACACTTGCAAGTGCAAACGTAGGAAGGTAGGTACCATGAGCTTGTCTCTGGATGAAATAAGATGCTGCCATCTTCAACATTTCTTACCAGTGCCTTGTTACTATGCAGTCACTGAGCCCTCTTTACTTCTTTGCTCTCAAGTACACTCTTTGACAGGGCAGGGCCTGGAAGGAGGTGTGGATGTTGGGCAAAAATTGCCCTTCCATTGCCCCACTCTTCAGTATCTGCACTCAGAACATTCCAACAAAAGCCGAAACACATTTCTAAAGGACACTGCACTCTTAAAAGCAATTTTTTAAGACACAGAAGGTCACAAAGCCCTCCTGGGTTTACAGTTCCTTGCTTAGAGAACGCCTCACTCATACCAGTATTTCAGATTTTTTTGTTTAATACCAGGGAGACTTGCTGTCCTAGATGGTATTCTATAGTAAGATTCTGAAAAACCTCCCCTTTGTTAAGTGGAAAAGGGCCATAATAAATGGGGAGACATCCTCAGGAGATGTGTTATCAGGCAAATCAATTTTAAGTAAGGCTGCATGAAGAAGTTGGAAATTGTGGGTGGATAACCTTAAAATTATCCATGCCTTCATACCTCAGGGAATCCACTTTGTGTATCGCCCAGGGATTCATATACCCCAGTTTGAAGGCCACTGGTCTGTATGACCTGCATCTACTCCTGCATTCTACTCCCTGCTTCTTCAATCCAGGACCAGTCTTTCTTGTACTTAATCAGTATTAAAAGGTCTCTACTGAATCTCTAATTTATGAAACCAGTGGCCTTTTCTCAGACCTCTCCTGGATATACTCAAAAACATGAACACCTGCTCCAGCTAAGAAGAAAGAAAATGAAGGAGTAAGAGAAAGGACAAAAACTGAAAAGAACAAGCATTCTCTTAGCGTACAGAATATGCCAGCATATCCTTGCACAGGCCTTGAATTCTGTCACCATGTTGGGTTATTTTTCTGGTTTGCCCCTGATTTTGCTTCAGCCTGCCAGTGCCCTGCCTGCCCTGTCCACCCTTCAGGCTTCAGCGCACCCTGAAGCTTCAGCTGGCTTCCAAGTGAGACTGTAATGCTCTTTCTTTCATTCCATTGTTCTTTATACTCTTATTTTGACAGCTCACATGGTGCTTTTCACCATGGTTATTTAAACATCTGTCTCCTTTCTGCCTTGTTCTTTTATATTTATTGTATAGCATGTAATGAGTAGATTATCTTCATTTTGGTTGAATTCAATTTGCCTCAGATACATATTTTCTTCATAGGTGCTGTCTTGGATTTGGACAGCCCTATTGTGGTTTGTAAATAGCGCTCCTTAATGTTCATAATTATGATTTAACTATTTTGTTTCATGATCATATTTTGTCAGTAATCTATACAAACTAAGATTTTTATTTCTACTCACCTGCTCTCCTTAGGAATCAAAAAGATCAGAATCTCTAATGGACATTCATCATAAAAAATTAAAAAATAAAGCTGCTGAAGATAAAAATAAGCCCCAAGAAAGAACACCATTTGACCGTGATAAGGATCTCAAAGTTCATCGGTTTGACGAAGCCCAGAAAAAAGCCCTGATAAAGAAATCTAGAGAACTAAACACCAGATTTTCGCATGGCAGAGGCAGTATGTTTTTATAAGTAAGTATATTTCAATGAGGTGTATTTTCATACTGATAAACTTGTATTTTTCCAAGTATTCTTATCTATAAGTGTGTGCAAAAACCTATTTCCTTTTATAAAAAAGTAGTGCAAATCTTTTTTTTTTTTTTTTGATAAGTTAAGTTTGGTTTTTGAAAATTCAGCCTTATGGGATAAAAAAATGTGGTTTATTGGAAGACTAGCCCTGTCCTATAATCACATAATAGGGTATTGCTATTAAACATGCCAAAATAATAGTTTAGTTAATGAGAAACATTAAAGGAAAGTGTGGTTTGAACCTTGGGTGAACATGCATGCTTTGTTGAAGAACAAAGAAAAGATGTTTGCTAGTAGTCTTTTTATGTTAAACAAAATTGCAATCAGAAAATGTTCATCACTTTGAAAAATTCTATAAATAAAGGCTCAAAACCATTACATAATTTATCCATAGCCCAGTCTAACAAGGGTTCATAATGGTGTTTAAGGAATTAATTACATAAAGCTGAGTTGAGGTTGCTTCTTAAAATCTTTATGAAATCTACATCATAACTGTATGAAGCCTACATCAGTATTAAAATGTGGCTTTAAGGGAAATTACAGTTAAAATTATTGTCAATACAGTTCAAATTACTTTTCAACTTACTGAATTTTCTCATTCTTACTTCAGGGGCCTTTCCCTGTGCAGTGAAGAAAAGCTGAAGAATATTCTTACCTCTGTCTACCTTTATTACCTTGCTTTGAGTTTCTTAAGATTAGAGGTTACTTTGTTTAGTCTTAAATACAATACAAATTTACCTTGTTCTGTGCGCCCTTTTAAGTCATGTGGAAACTGAAAATCAATGTTTCTTATGTAGACTAGGATTTTATGTGTCTCTGGCGCCTGAGGAAGGGCAGGCTTCCTGTGCGTCAGTGCGCCTTGCAGTCTGGCCTGCGCTCTGAAAGGGGGCCTGCTGGGATCTCTGGGTCTCCTCGTGGGATGTTCCTGCTCCGCCCTGGAGCAAGTGTGTCAGGTCCTTGCAGTAAATCCATGAATTTGAAATTGTTTCAGTCTAAACTGCAGCCAGTGAATACACACTTATTTGAAAATAGAGGGTGTGGAAGTTTGTCTGTTTCCTTAGTTGATTGCTTGTTACTTTGCTTGTTTAGGTAATCAGGGCTTTTCATTTGTTGTTTGGGTTTTCTGCTGTGTTTGTTTTTAAGTCAGAGAGGACCTCTGCCTTATGTCATGTGCTAAGGAAAAATTATTTTGACTTTTCCAAATTTAGTATTTCTAGGCAAGGAAATCTGGGGGTCAAGATATACCGTCAACCATTAGCAGCATGAAATCTTAAGACTCAGTCTCTGGTCTCAGCCAAAGCTTTCTAAGTCTTTAAACTTTGCTTTGGGATGATCTTACTTTACCCATTTATATTTAACAGATTTTAGCTTATTTATTGGAGACAGATCATTTATATCAATCACGAATATCCTTTTTTAAAAAGTAAATCTAATAACCCCTGAATATGAAATATAAATGTATCATAACCACCCTAATGAGAGTATTATAAGTTTGCAGTGTTTTAAATACTGCCTCTTAAAGTACTAACAGAAAATTCTAAACAGTTAAAGCCTAAACTCAAATTCTTTAAGTTTTATTTTCTTACAGATGAATCCTAATTATTCTGCTAATTCTGTGTTCTAGCTTTGATGAAGCACAGGGTTTTAATGGAAGAAGATTCTGACTCCTAGTTCATTTAGGCTTTATGAAAATGGAGTAAACTGTTTGGATTATGATACAAATTATTCTCTTAATCATACTGTACAGTGGTATTTTCTATAACATCAGTGTGATCAGTCACCTGTTCAAAGAGTGTTGCTGTTAAAAAAGATGAATTATTCTCCTAAGCAAACTGAAAAGGCTTCTGTCTAAGCACAATTGAACAGAGCTGCCTTTTGACTAAAGATGTCATTGTTAGTGGGTGATATTTGCTGAACACAAAACTGTGCAAGAGCATCTGTTGCTTTCATTTAATTTTGTTACAATTTTTTCCCCAGTGAAAGAAAGAAATGTGATTTCTAGTTCCTCATCCTGATACTAATTCCTAATGTACATTTTTGGGAAATGGGATTTTTTTTTTTTTTTAAGTAAAACTGTGTTCTTTGGATACTTTTTCTGCTTTGCTTGCATTTTTTTTCACTCTGTTATCTTCTATTACTTAAAAATTCTGAAACAAACATGTCAAAATATTAACATTTTCCAAATCATGGTGGTGCATATATCAGTATACAGTATCTTATTCTCTGTGTTATTTTTCGTGTTTGAACATTTCTGTAATATTTGAAAACCAACTTGAGGGGTGGAGGCAATAGCAGTATGGCAACAGTGCCTTCTTTCAAGGGTCTCTGTAGCTAGAGAATTGCTCCGAGGGCGTGTGATTGCCGAAGTCTGTTGGGCTGGCGTTTTTAGGAGTCTGACCAGCTCAATGTAAAAAACTTTTGTTTTGCTTTCTTCGTCTGAAGGGGATAGAGATATTTCTACTTTACATACTTAACTATATCATCCTTCACCCTTGGAGTGTCCTTGACCTTAGGAAAAGGGAGAAAATCCTCTTCCTTCTTCCTGATACTTCCCATGATTTACCACCTTACTGCCACCTCAGGTCTAATGCTCTTTCATGCCATCCTGAGGACAGTTTTAATAAAATATGTAAGGCCACACCAGAGGTTTTTTTGGCCCCTGGAGAGACTAAACCCAATATAACAACATTGACAATTAAAAGAACAAAGTAGTTGTTTGCACAAAGTGGAAAGGTGTTCATTTCATTTATCCTCCCCCCCATACAAAGCCTCAAAAGGCCTAATTAAATGATGTGTCCATCAGTTTGCCAGAAAATTGGAATTATTGATGTTTTCTAATATGAACTTTTTAATTTCGTACACTTCTTGGCCAAGTTTTATAGAACTGTGACCTCTTTTGAAACTTCAAAATGAAGAAGAAAAAAGAGCAACACTAAGTTCAAAATATGAAGCAGATACTTTAATGTTCTTTACTATTGAAGGGACATTTAAGTTGATTGTACCTGAAATTACATCTTGTCCACCTTTCTAAATTGTCATCTCAGATAGGTTTAGATGCTTCAAAGAGTAACCATGTTACTGGTAAGTAAATGGTGGTTTTAACAAGTGGGGGAAATTAAGAGGGGGGACAAAAGTTAAGCGATAGTGGCTGTACCCATAATAACACTGTTTAATCAGATAAATGACATTTTTTTTGTATTGAGGAAAGCATCATAAATTAAGCCCTCTGCCTGCCATGGTCTTAGTAAGTTTTTAACCTTGTTTAGATATAGTAATCACTTAACATTTAATTTATCACTTGAGCAGTCTTTGAACTGATGATTTTATTTTTTAGAAGGTTAAAATTTACATGGTACTGAGGTTTACATGTTCCTGAACAGATTATTGATTATTATGTAAATTATTTGATCCCTGAATATTACAGTACTTTTTGTTTCTAATATAAGGTGAAGAATGTTAATATTACTACTCAGAAATGTGTGATCATGGGAGATAGTTTTTAAACTATTTACAAGAGTCTTTATCACTTCTCTTTTCACTTTTTTCCATAGGAATACTAGGTATTGTTGGAAAAAGATTCTCTGTTGAGTTATATACCCAAGAGGAAGAGGACTTAACATGATAAGCAGTGGTTAGAGTAGCCATATAACATCAATGCCAAATCTTCTATTTGAGAATATTTGTTTTACTTTGGCTTTTGATGCCATCACAATATTTAAGTCTGCAGTTATGAAAAGTCATGCATTTCTGATTATAAAGAGGCATTTTTCTTGCAGCGTAAAAAGTTGTTGAACTCTGGCTGTAGTGTGTACAGAATCATGGAACTGAATGCTGCCCCTTTGAATCTTTTCATTCTGAGCTTTACAATTAAAAGACTGTTTTTAGAAAAGAATTCCTGAGGTGTAATTTTTTATGTATAAATAAAGTTTCATCTATCTAAGAGGTTGTGGTCTTTTATCTTTGTTTTGTTTTAATAGCTTCAGCGGACAATATTGATAAAGAACATTCTGTAAAAATGTATTCCAGCCATGCAAGATCATTGTGGGCTGTTATTGTGAAAAAAAGAGAAAAAAAAAGTCTTTTACCCAACTCACTTGCCAGGTTCTCATTCTTCCAATGTAACTATAAATATTAACTATTTATTTAGAAACACAAGACAGACAAATTGGAAACTCTTAAGAATACTGTGGCACAAGACAGGCTGTATCCTGGCTTATATGAAGAGCGGATTGTCACTTCTGCTGAGTGAATTGATGCCTAATAAGCTTCATTCTTCAAACATTTTTACCAACCAAGTACTGCAGGGCTCAAGATTCTACTGTGTTAATGAAAATTCAGTTTCATTAGACTTTGCCTCCTCTTAGGCACCTTTTAAAATGGAAAAGTCCCTAGGAGGAATGGTTAGGTTGTAAGATCCTTGTTCTGGCTGAGGCTCCGTGAGGTCACCGAACACTCTAGAATATGAAAGGACCAGGGAGTGCAATGGGATGCTAGTGATGAGTCCCAAGCGGGATCTCCCCTTTCAACGATTTTCCTTGGAGGAATTAACCACTTAATGTCACTGAAGTATTTTGAGGTCTTAGGTAAGTGCTTTGGCCCCTAAAGTATTATTTCAAATAAAGAACTTCAGAAGCAAGTGAGTTTACTTTTAGATACCAGTTTCTTCATTTGCTAACAAAAGAAAGATGACAGTAGGTAAAAGTAAGTAAAAAAGCAACAAGGGCACATGATTGTTTAGGACTGAAAATATTTCAAGGACCTGTACTAGCATATTGAAAAGCATTTCAAAACTCATTTTCAAGTCCCTCTGATAGCCACCTTTCCACTGTTAGCACTTTGTAGAACTTCCATTTGGTTTCCTTAGGGTGGAGTAATGTAGGCCACATGATAAGGTGTTTAGTCCTAAATTTCTCTTCATGCAGTCAGTGCTCTGAGATGAAAATAAACGTGTTCCTCTTAACAGTGGGCACAAGATCCCCGACTGACGTAAGGAATTCTATTCTGCCAGCCAGGAACATAAACTTTGGAAACAGTAGCCTGTAGTAAGTTCCTAGCCTTGCCATTAGCTGTATAAAGTTGGGAATGTTTCTTAATCTATCTCAGCCACAATCTATCTTAAGGTGGGGACAGTAATACCTCACGGGGTGTCAAGAGGATTACATGAAGTGACGCATTTAAGCAATTAGCACAAAATCCAGCAATAAATAATGGTTGTCATTGTAGACCCCTGGACCCACTCAGACAGCTTTTGAAGACAGACTCATTGATTTCTTATGACCTCAGAAAATTTCTTTTTATCAGGATTCATGGCAGTATGTGATAGAAACCTTAGCTCAAAATAGCTAAAGCAAATTACTTGTGTAATGAAAGGTCCAGAAGGTAGCCCTGCTTTAGGTACAGCTGAGTCTGGAATCCCAAATCATGTCTTCAGGATTCCTTCCCTGTCTTTCAGTCTGCTTTCCTTTGTGTGGACTTCACATTGTTAGCTGGGCTCCCCAGTTGGTGACAAACATGGATAGCAGCACCTCTAAAGTGACATACTGCCAATTTAGCGACCCAGTGAGCTCTTTCCTACTGTTTCCAGCCAGAGCCCAAGGACTAACACTAATCAGCTCTGAGAACCAGCTTTGGTCACTTGTTCAGCCCAAATCATTCACTTGGTCAGGAGACACCACACCCAGCAGCCCAGGCTGATCACTTCCCCTCCTAGGAATTCAAGGGGCAGGTTAAGCCCTGCCTAAATCACAGACCGAGAAATTGGGAAGGCAGGTCCCTCCAAGAAAAGGAAAGTGCAGTAGTTGGAAATAAGGTACCACATGCTACAAAGGCAGAAATATCTGATGCTTATTATAGCCCCCTGGCTTATGTTTCATTCCCACCAATTTTTTAAAGAATATACCAGAATTTTGTCCAAAATGGAATATCAGCCACCTACTTGTCAGTTCACCCCAAGTTTGCCATTGTTAGTGTCTGGCCATTGTGAATCCCCTTTTTCACTAGGTATCTTCTAGTCCAGTTCTCATGGTTAGGGGTCTATGTTCAGCGGTATAGGGAGGGAGCTAGCACACGTACTCTGGAGATGACAGCCAGGGAAGGTTCTGCCTGAAGAGAGTACTGCTCATCCCCTACTTACCTGCTACCATCAAACCTTCTGACATCAGGGAGTACATTTAGCAGAAAGTAGATGAAAGATAAGGCCACCATTTGCCACATTCCACTGCAATTTATAAATCACAATACAATTCAGAATGATGTATTTAGCCTTTCCATTTACAAACAAGACAAGGACAATGAAAAGTATGAAGAATTGCCAGCTTCAACTCAATTAATAGCAAGGGAGTGTGCCTGAAATCACTAATCAGTCATGTATCTTGGATAGAAGGTGTCCAATGTCTGAAGCAGCCCTTGAGAGAGGTTAGCCAAAGTTGGACCACAACCCCCAAATCACAAAACTAGATGGAAGCAGGAAGGGGAATGGGAGAGAGAGATTCATCTCCTGAATACCTTGAGTTCTGGGTGTGGAGGAGTGACAGGCAAGTGTAGGGAGTTTCAGTGGCCCCCAAAAGACATGGCCACTCAGAACCTCAGAATGTGACCTTTTTTGGAATAAGGATCTTTGCACATGTGATTAGGTTCAGGATTTCAAGATGAGATCATTCTGGACTTACGGTGGGCCTTACATCCAGTGACTGGTACCCTTATCAGAGAAAGGAAAGAGACAGGCAACACAAAGACACACAGGGAAGAAGGCCTGGGACGGCGGCAGAGACTGGAGGATGCTGCCACCACAGGCCAAGCAGCTGCCAGCCCCCAGCAGCTGAAGGAGGCAAGGAAGGCTCCTCCCCTAGGGCCTCCAGAGGAAGTGTGGCCCTGCTGACACCTTGACTGCAGACTTCCTGCCTCTACAACTGTGAGAGAGAAATTGTTTTTCTAAGCCACCATGTGTGTGGTAGTTACTTGCAACAGCCCCAGGAAACTAATATGACAAGATAGGAACAGAACTCACCTTCGCTTCTTCAAGCCCAAGATGGAGCCTAGTGTTAGCAACTTAACAGCTGGCCATTGTCAGTGGTCGAGGGCACTGGTGAGCCACCAGATTCGTCAGGGGCTCTGCAGGTCCCTAGTCTCCATGCCGCTGTGGGCCCTAAAAGAAACTGGAAGTATTGTTACCAGAAGAATGGACTATATTATGAGCAGGCACAAATTTGAAAAATAAAGCAAAAAACATACGCTACAATCAGTAAAAAGCTTTACAGGGAGTAGTTAGAAGTGGATTTTTTTTTATTAAGGTATTATTGATATACACTCTAGTGAAGGTTTCACATGAAAAAACAATGTGGTTATTACATTCACCCGTATTATCATGTCCCCCCAATACCCCATTGCAGTTACTGCCTAGAAATGGATTTTTTTTAAGTGTAGTCAAGTGGAGGTAATTCTTTAAAAAATAATTGTTTTAAGATTAGCAATCAAATAGTTGCCATAGTGCTGCTGGCTTCTATATGGCAATTAAATACTTTGTAAATGTACCATTGTAAAGAGAATAAAATATTTTCCCCCCTTACATAGGCAACTATTCTAATTGAGCTTTGTTTGTACTGCCTCACAAGCAAACTGAGCACCAGTGTAGACAGTAATATTAACTTTGGTGTTAATAACACAAGTCATACCTACCAGAATATGAGCTCTGAGTTCTCGGTTATAATGCAGAAAAGGATTCAGGAGTCATTTCGACCAATTCAGGTATAGCTATAGCCAAAAAAAAAAGCTAATAGAGTATTGGATAATAAATATAAAAGAGAAATACAAGAAAAAGAAATACAACATTTGGACAAAGCTATGGTATGTCTACCTAGAAAACTACTTTCTGTTCTAGTCTCTATTCCTCAAGAAAAAACATTTAAAGAAGGAGGTCTAGAGAAGAATAAGTAAATTGATTAACTCCTGTCTATAAATATTATCATGCTCCCACAATGTGCAAAACATTGGTCTAGGGATATAAAAACAAATAACGACGTGGCCCTCAACTTCGCAGTCTAATGGGAAAGACAGATGCAGAGAAATAGTTGTAATGATGCAATGCAGCAAGTACAGGGCACAGGTAACACACAGGACCCAATGGGATCACAGAGGAGGTGCCAGGCCCCCAGAGGGGAGAGCTGAGGATGGTTCACCTCTCAAACAAAACAGAGAAGGCAACAAAGGGGCTTGTAGAGGCGTGGGGGGTGTGCTGTTACCTCCATGTTTAGGAGTGAGAGAGAACAGCTGCATGGGATGCAGCAGTGGAGGAGAGATGGGTGAACTAAACTAGAGAATCTAATCCAGCTGAAAGGCTGCAGTTCAAGGACAGTGTATACGGGGTTGACTTTGAACGACCTGAAAGAGGAAGCCCATATCCTCCAAAAGTAGAGCAAAGGAAATGGGGGTGGTTATGGACACAGATAAGTTTTTAGGTAAAGGTCCCAGAGTTAAGGGAGATTATACCTGGCATTCTAAATTTGCTGAGGGAGAGGTTTGTTAACCTTTTATGGTCTTGAGAATGTGGTGAAAAGTATGGATGGTTCACCTTTCAAAATGCACATTTTGCAAATTTTTACATATGATTTCAGTTTCCCAACCTCCTGAATCCCAACCACGGACTCCAGCTAGAGATCCTGCATTGCACCCAGATGAGACATGTCATTCGCTGAGAGGAAGGGGTCAGAGGCTAAAAGGTTTGGCATAAACTTAGGGCCAAGCAAGAGGGACCTAAAGGGAGACAAGCAGAGGGCAAGATGAGTTGCAGCAGCAATGTGGCTGGGCTGTTAGAAGGGGAATGCGCATGAGCGACCACGGAAACAACTACCACACACTGCCGATGGGGTGGGGAAGAGACCAAGAGGGGCCTGACAAGCCAGGAGGGAGAGCTACGGAAGCTCAAAGGGAAGCAACCTCACAGTA